CTGGGATACAGAAAAATTATTATACAATACTCTGAAATCTGGAAAATAACTTAGATAATGTTATGCATTTTACTATCAACCTTCTTTGTTTGACAAAGTGAAAAGACTCACAGGGGGGCTGCGAGCGAGACTTCTGTATTGTGCCGCAACAGAAACAATAAGCTCGCAGTTCTATACTATCCCTCCCAGGACACCGTCACGCCCTACCCTTGCATTCTTATCATTATTATAATTCTCATAGCTTACCTACTGACTGATGAGTTGTGGGCTAAGATTTCCTTTGATCAGAAAAACAAAAAATACCAGAGAATCTGGAAGTGAAGATGTCTTATCTATCCATAATGTTAGTAGTTCAACCAGAGTGCGAAGTGAAGACCAATACTCAAGAATTTGGATCAATACCTTGACTTCCCGTTCTATTAATATGTTTCAAAAGTTTCCGATACTACAAGTCTGCTATTTATAGGATCAGCTGACCATTGGATCAGTTCACGAAACAACATGTCCCAGTCTGACACTACCAATTGTAGGTCTTCGCTGTCTTCAAAAATACAAAGGACCAACGTTACTAATCATTTCACAAAATCAGATTAACAAGGACAGCGCAAAATGGCTGTTAGTTAGCCGTTAGGAACGAAGCAGAAAGCAACACAAACGAATGGGCGAGATAGAATAATTTCCTTTAAAACAATATTCTGGGACTGTGAAACTCGAATTTAACTTTGAACTCTAGTTAAAGTACTGAGCTTCCCCATGAAATATTACCATATTTTGTAAGAAGCGTGTACTTTCGAGAGTAATATGTAACAGGAAACGATGTAACAGAGTCAATCTTATTATATATAAAGCGAGACGATATATATCTGTGCCATTTTACTGACACCATGGCATCAACTTTAACGCGACTTTCTGCAAAAAACCGTAAAAGATATACAACTGAAACTTTTTTGACTGGGTCAAATGCTTTAATGGCCTTCAAATCAGTATGAAAAAATAAAAATTGGCCAAGGAATAATGATTTTAGAGCCCAAAATGTGGACCCCCAAGTGGTGTCAAAAACGCCAATTAAATAGGTAATAATTATTTTAGTCTCTTGAGTCTTGACACCGTTTAGGGTTATATTATACGGGTTCCTGCTGGTATATTTTAATGTTACCATGGGGTGGCAAGTCCCCATACATCGTAGTCCGATAGTTTCACTGCGTCATAATATCTAGGTTATGACGCATTTAGAATATTATCATGAAACCAGAAAAAATAATGATTCTGAATATGGTTGCAACTTGCAGTAAATATATTACCATTATCTATATTATATTTTAAACTTGACGAAATCCCTCCGGCAACGGGGACCAAAAAATTACCCTCTGGTGATGCCAATTTCAGCTCGCAAATGAAGTTGAAACCTCGCGATTTTTAGCAGTGTTGTAAAAAAAGGATGGGAGTAGGAGATAGCATTCTTAGAATTGTGATTAAGGCTTTAGATTTTCTATAATTAACGTCGGAAGAGAGGTAAAATAAACGTAAGAATAATGGTGTAATTTCATCAAAGGTTACCTGCGTCGTTGCTTAGCAACATCAAGAGATTACACGTGCGCGAGCAAGAACAGATTAGCAACTTGCGTTGCCATGCTTTGTTCTGATACGTCATAACCAGCTCACATTTACGCTCACGATATCACTATTCATAACTTTGATTGTGATTGATATTTTTTGATGCGGTAGAAAGTATCGTTTAGGGAATAATACTTACAACTTTATCGTCATTGTCAAATAAAATCCATACTTTCTACAGTACAGAGCTTAGAGCTAGATGATTATAGATTAGAGAAATTTAAACATAAATGATTTTTAAAATTTCCTCGAATAAAGCTTTCGACTAGCGGGTTTCTAGTACATTATATATATTATATATATAATAATTAGTTATATAATAAATGTATACTATTATTTTATGTTTACCTCGAACCAACGATGATAACAAGTCATATCAAAAATAATTATCTCGATCGAGCAGTGGGCACTGAGTGATTGAGCTATAAACCCCGACGTTTGTGTACTGACTCCCCCCCCCCCCCCCCCCCCCCCCTGTAATCTGTATAGTGTAAATCAATTAATTATGAAACAGCGATATTAGAACTATTAAATAGTGAGCAGTAACTTAAATTTTCCTGCGACCGATGGGAATAATTAATGTAGAAGCAGAGTATATTACATTATAATTCTCTTTCTCACCGACGTGGTTTATATACCGGACACGAAAAAATTTGGTGATAAATTCCACGGATTTTTTGCTCCATGTGTAGTACAAAGAGGGCTAACACTCCAAGTGACAGATTTATTAAGGGTGTTGAGATATTATGATGCTTTTTTAATTTATTAGACGCGTGATACGTACCGATACGTATCAAATTTACCTCGGTTGCTAGGGGACTGATTGCGGTTGCTATGGTGGCCATGGTAACGTAAAAATTTAGAAGTCACCATTAAACCTTAAAACTACCATAAACGTTTTGCAGAATGAAGTTTTAACAAATGGATAAAAAGTTATTCAAAAAGTACATCCTTGCAAGACTTTTGAAACAACCTGTATCGGTATTACTGAGTCTACATCTGTAGTAACTACAGTAACTGTTACTGTCTTGGTGACAGTGCTGTACGTGGGTTAACAGAAGTGTTTATAATAATATCGTGGATTCAGTTCCTTTATTGAAGACGATATAAGGTTGTAGGTGATCCCAGAATTATTCTCTATCAATACCAGGATCTGGTGAAAGTTAACTGATTCGGACTGATAGTTGGAGCGTTAAAATACGGAATTATGAGATCACTAATTATATATCACCAAAAGCATGACCTCGGTTAATGATAATTAATTTCCAATATCAATAAATCATATAAGGAACGTTAACTTTAGTTTATTAATTATTATCAAATAATCGTAACTTGCTCGGCAAAGAATCACTGCTGTGAGTTTTAAAATGTTTTTAAATATTCACCAGCAAAAAATTCGTCTATCAAGAACATAGAGCAAGCAATATAAGACAAACATTAGTAATATTAAACAAACATTAGTTACACTAAACAAACACTACTAACACTAAACAAATATTAGTAACACTAAACAAACACTAGTAATAGTAACACTAAACAAACATTAGTAACACTAAACAAACATTAGTAACACTCAACAAACATTAGTAACACCAAACAAACATTCTAGTAACACTAAACAAAAATAAGTAACACTCAACAAACATTAGTAACACTAAACAAACATTAGTAGCACTAAACAGACATTAGTAACACTAAACAGAAGTACCATTATAGCAGTTTAAAACTAACTAATTACATGAATTATATAACAAACACACACCTCATGAGACAACAGCAGTTGCACAGTGTTACTTACCCCATCATGATGTGTACATTCCTCACGAACTGTATCTGAGGTTGAGGGTATGTCGCTAAATATCTTAACTTCTCCCCAATGATTGAGTAATGAGCGGGGGTTTGAGGTTACAAAACTCCGTAGAGGAGAGAGCCGGTTGGAATTTATCAGATATGATTTGATATTTAATTCTAAGGACGTTGGGTCACTTTGGAAAGATATTTACAGTAAATGTAAAGAAATTCAAGAAGGCTGCTTGATGTCTCTTAGTGAAGAATCTGAATGAACAAACTATGAAGTTTAAAGTTTAAAGTTGAAGTGGTATGAAGTCCGGAAACATTTCACATATCAAATCATCACAAAACAACAAAACAACCAGTCTAACAACAAAACGTAACAAAACTTCACCGTCAGAGCACGTGACCATAACAACACGTCATAACTGCACGTGCAATACAGTAACTGCACGTGCAATACAGTAACTGCACGTGCAATACAGTAACTGACCGGCCCCCAGGACGCCTCAGTAACATCATATTACTTATCATATATAATATATTTTTGTAGCGGTCCAGTATAACTGTAGGGCCAGGTGTAATCGACCAAATTATTTTAGACATTATAGCTGACGGTGCTGGACTCTGCCCACGTGACTAAGAGAGGGGTTCTGAGTGGATGCTCGACTCTTTCTCGGATCCTCATTGGTCGGACACCATGTGTGGACTGTTCCTGAGTGTATTGATTTGTTGTCGGGCCACGAAACTTTGATATTGGACAGATCGGGGCCAACAGGTGGTGGAGCGGGTGTATTTACAAGGTACATTCCTGTACTGTGTAGTGTTACATTCCTGTACTGTGTCGTGTTACATTCCTTACTGTGCAGTGTTACACTCCTGTACTGTGTAGTGTTACATTCCTGTACTGTGTCGTGTTACATTCCTTACTGTGCAGTGTTACACTCCTGTACTGTGTAGTGTTACATTCCTGTATTGTGCAGTGTTACATTCCTTACTGTGGAGTGTTACATTCCTTACTGTGTCGTGTTACATTCCTGTACTGTGTAGTGTTACATTCCTGTACTGTGTCGTGTTACATTCCTGTACTGTGTCGTGTTACATTCCTGTACTGTGTAGTGTTACATTCCTGTACTGTGTCGTGTTACATTCCTTACTGTGTCGTGTTACATTCCTGTACTGTGTAGTGTTACATTCCTGTACTGTGTCGTGTTACATTCCTGTACTGTGTCGTGTTACATTCCTTACTGTGCAGTGTTACACTCCTGTACTGTGTAGTGTTACATTCCTGTATTGTGCAGTGTTACATTCCTTACTGTGGAGTGTTACATTCCTGTACTGTGTAGTGTTACATTCCTGTACTGTGTAGTGTTACATTCCTGTACTGTGTAGTGTTACATTCCTGTACTGTGTAGTGTTACATTCCTGTATTGTGCAGTGTTACATTGCCGTACTGTGCAGAGTCCATACTGGACAATCAAAGTTGCAATCAGCAGCAAATCTATGTTCCCGAAATAAAAATACGATTTCGTGGAACGTGGGATATTCTCATTTGCCTCAGAAATATTGAAGCCATTTCATTTCCCCGGCTCCACAACAATAAATGTAATAACACTCTGACGAGGATAGTGCGTCACATCTGCCACCAGAAACAAAATTATTACCAAACAATATTGTTCTAGAAAACCGCGGAATATTGTACGCAGACAGTGAGGGGTACGTCCTCCAATCTCTGATCTATTAGCGGCCCAGGTGCCCACTTCTTGACAATGTTTTCTGTGATATAACTGGTAATGCAAGCAAAGTACATGTGGTAGAGACATCATACCAGTCAATAATGGCGTGTACCAAGATACATAATAATGTTATGTGTAGTAGGGCCCTATCCAAACCATAAGAAATATCGCGCATTAACGTAACAGTATTGTGTAGATGAAGGGCGGCTAGGCTTATTATTGAATTTGCAGCTTGTGTTATTGTTTCATTTAGTGAAGACAATCGGTAGAAATTGGAAGTTATATATCATTCTCACTCCTGACTGCATAATAACATTTAAATATTTAAACATTCACACCAAGATATCGACTGATTTTCTGAAGCCCAATAATTGATCCGTATTATATAAGAATAACTTAGAAGAAGGCAAGCTGACTGGTTAAAGTGTTAACACTTAATAACTCAATAACTTAATAACTTAATAACTTAATTACTTAATTACTTAATTACATAATTACATACTTACATAATTGCATAATTATATAATTACGTAATTACTAAATAAATTAATAGCTTGATAAATTAATAACCCACAAGATAACTTAATAACTAAATGTTAACTGAATTATCCATTAAATAATGAATAGCCATAATCCCACAAACCCCCCACACCCCCTCTCTCTCTCTCTCTCTCGGAACAGATACGACCTCAGCTAAGTTACACAAACTAGCAACACAAAAATCAATTAACATGTTCACGAGGAGTGTAAACCAGTGTATGTACTGGAGTATTGGAGCTCTCTCACTCACCGCTCCAGTCCTGCACTCCCTTTCTCACAGTGTATGTACTGGAGTATTGGAGCTCTCTCACTCACCGCTCCAGTCCTGCACTCCCTCTCTCACTCTTAAAGGGCACAGATTCTTTCCTCACGTTATTACTTACACTATGTACTGGGGGCCTGCTCCTCTCTGCTGCTGTATTGCATAACACAAATTAGCTGCGAGCAGGTGGGCCCCTTACCAGGGACGTGGGGTAGACAATGGTGTGATCAAACATCGAGATAAGTGAAACTAGTTAGGCCCAGTACTGCGGGGTGTTTGTGAAAATTGAAACTTTGAGGATGAGCCTGGTTGTTGGATTGGTCAGTTGCGGGGTTGAAACTGGGTCATTAAGTGCAATGCTATCAGAAACAATGTTTAAGATAACTTATGTCATCAGATAAATGTGGAAACAATAGCTTTCTTATAATATATATAATATAATATAATATTTATATACCTGGGCCAAACGAGGCCACAGATTTGGTAATTCTCGAAGTAAAATAAAAATGTCGTCTTCTTATGATCAGTTGATCAATGTTCAGGAGAAAGTATAAAGGAAAGAAAAAAACGTTTAGGTTAAACTGAGGCTTCTGTGATTTAAAATGTTTAAATACAGAATAAACGCTAATAAATTGTTGTACCTACTGTTGTTTAATCTTCGAACCGTCGAAACAAGCTTGAGGTCATGAGACCACAGAGCTAACGTGTGCTAGCTAAAATGTGTTATTGTTAGGATAACACATATTAGTAAGATTTAATCGCTAAAATATTAAGAAAGGTTTGATGTACAGTATGAGGATAAAAATCTTTAAATTGTAGTGACTCAAGTATTAATGAAACGAACAGCAAACTTATTTTAAAAGTTTAAACTTGAAAAAAAAGTAATATAAAAGTAGTTTTGAGTGTCCGGAATATTGGTAGATATCATCACATTTGTTAAAATTTTCGACACTAGGACAATCTGAAGTACTGATATAATACCAAATAGTTTAGGGTTTGGTGATACCTTGTTGGACACATATCCCATACATTGTTACTGGTGTAATCAAAGGCAGTTAGGATATTTTTCAGGTCAAGACTGCAATTTAAGGATAACAATTCCTTCAGTTAAGTTTGCAGCAGACCAAATTTTAGGCGAGTATGAAGCCCAGGTAGTGTCTGTGTTAATGTTAACTCCAGTTGTTGGGCTGCACCTTAGGCTGTCTTGGAGAAGTTGGATGTTGAACACAGGCGTCATTTACGATCAATATTGAATCATAACTACCCAGATGCAATTTCTAATGCCAATCTGTACAAACGCTTCAACAGTGAATCACTGTCAGCTAGAGTGGAGCGAAGTTGATTGCGAATGCTTGGCCATGTACTGAGAGGTCCAGATAATAAATCTACCTAGATGGCATTTGCTAATTTGCAGATACCAGGGAGAGTTGGACGACCACAGTCTAACCTGTTTTCATTGATACAGCGTGAAAATTAAATAGTTTCTCAATAATGTTTATTATTATCTAAAGATTTTCTGTTCATCAAAGCTTTCTTTGGTAATTTAACTTCCAGTACCTCAATCGTGTCTTGTGCCTTCCACAGTGAACTCATTAATAGGTCATTCAATAAAAATTCAGCTGAAATCTGAAAATGTTCTGGCGGTAGGACATCAAGAAAACAAAAAATTTTCAAGAAAACAGACATTTTCAAAATTGTTATTTCATAAAAGTTTTATCAGGATATTCAGCTTCCAGTACCTCGATGGTGACTTGGGTCACACACACTGACCTCAATGATTGGTCACTAGTCAAAAATTCAGTCACAACTGTGAAATTTCGGTCAAGGAAACGGCAGAAAAGCTTCTATTAAACAAGAAATGCGGCCGCTTTTCTTTTGTGGATAGCTGCTCAATTTCCCGATCCTTGATGGCGTATTTTATCATATTCCATATAAACTGGGGACCCCAGTTTTTACTGTTTATAATCATGCAGACATGGCGGAGCGCCGCCCAATTAATTCCATATTGAATTTGAAAATCGTGTATATCTCTATGTAACCATATGTTTATTGTTTTACGCAACCTGTCATGAATCTGTGCAAAATAGTAATACTAACTCGAAATTATAATAATATGCTATCAATTATTAGTGCTTATCAATTATTAGTGCTTATCAATTATAAGTGCCTAGTGGGATACGTACATTGAGAAATTAACAATTTACTTGGTCAGTTTAGCGCTGCGGGCCAAAAATTATTTAATTCAGAATATTGCGCAAAATAACTTTGCAAAATAACCTTGCTATTAACCTTGTCCTTGACTCTTTTGTGCCGTCGGCACTTGAGTCATGGATCGGGAAAATATCTTCCAAATGTTTCCTTCTTTTCTAAAGATTTTCGGTTTATCAAAGCTTTCTTTGGTAATCTAACTTTCGCGTCGGTACCTCAATCGTGTCTTGTGCCATCTACAGTGACCTCATTACTTACCATAGAGACATCAAGGAAGTGGCAAAATGACATTTTATAACATATTCTTTACTGAGTTATTAAAAACTAACGCTTTAGAAGCCTAACTTACTCTCTAAGTTGGTAAAAATCTGACTTCAAAAATCATAGAAAATATAAGGTACCTGGTCAATTAGTTAATTGGGCTCTTACAATTATGTATAAATTAGAAAACTTATTATGAAGAAGCTAATCATATTCTTTGATAGTCAGTTTTTACAGGAGAAATATTCATCACCACTGGAGATATGGCCTATTTGTAACGTCAAATTTGAACTGAACGCAGCATAATAACCACCAGTGGCGTAACGAAGGGCCCCGCTGACTCCGATGTGCGAGGGGGCGCCATCTTAGGGGAGCGCAAAATCATCATTTGAATGTGGGAAAATTTTTAAAAACTTAACTGAGGCAAGGTACTAGCAAAACTGTGCGTTTTGCTCTAGAAACACACTTTTTTAGAGATTTTACCTGTGTATCCTCTAAAATCACCTGATTTGTTCAAATATAGGGAGGGGTGCTTAAATGGGAGGGGCGCCAACTAAACAGGGGGGCGCATTTTCAGCAGGGGGGGGGGGGGGCGCCAACAAGCAACGTTACGCCACTGATAACCACCCAACAGATCATACTGTTGCTCCAACAATATTTGCATCTGCTCATTAAAGCATCTTACTTTGGAAATTCCTATTTCTGCATATGCAGTTAGAGACACATCGCAGACAGACAAAGAAACCACTGAAATATAATAGAATGTGTTATTTTGTACTTTTCTCTAAATAATAACCAACATGTAAACATGTATAATTGTGCCCATTTATACACTGCATTCTCTGATCAGTTCACTTTTTGATATTGTACTAAAGATCCTCAGAACCGCTTGTGATTTAAATTACTCCCCAAAGATGAATAACTTAACTGTTATCTGCTATTGAAGTTCTTTTTATTTGTTAGTGGAGCATCTAGGGCTATACTGGTTCTAACAAGTTTATTATCGGATGTTAACTTAAATTTATTATGATATTATTATTTATTGTTATGGTAATAAAATTTAAATTTTGTTTTCCTTATTGCAACGTCAAATTGAATATTTTCAATAAACAATAACATGTATGTACATTGTACATGTTATTGTTTATTGAAAATATTTTATTATTTATATTATATTTTTATTATTGTACAATGAATGGAACGCGTGACCTGTGACCATATAAAGCATATATATAATCACGTGCATTCATGTACGATGTACAATTATGTATTAATTGTTTTGTTTTGATTGGCTGGACAGATTTATTAATTATGGCCTAAGGGACATTGGGCAGGACAGGTTTGTTTTTGGAATGAGCTTGAGCAGATCCGGTCTGAACCATACCGGAAGAAACTGTTTCCTATTGCATATTGTAAATAATTAAAAGAACTAGGACACAGTTACATTTTTAAGCTTCAAAGTTAAAATTTCACAGTTGTCACACATTGTAGACCTGCCGCGCACGAGCGCGCAGTTGTAGTGTGGCTGTCGCCACTTAGTGAAACGACACGTCGTTATTATAGTTATACTGTATTATTTTATATTTAAAGTAT